ACCCCAAAACTGCTGAAGAAGACACCAGGCACCATGCTGCTTCTCCCAGCAAGCAGGGGGAGTTCCAGAGAGGATAAGGGGCTAGCCAGGACCAGTCAGGGAAAGTGGCGACAGGGAGGAGTGGGGAAGCTGGGAAGCAGAAAATCCCAATGCGGTGTGACTGAAGTGCAGGAGGTTCCCTACTTCTCCAAGGGATAGATACATCGAGACAAGAGACTGCACAGGAAACTGGGACCTTGCTTTGTTCAAAGACACTGTGCATGGGAAGAGTTTGGCTGCAGAAAACAGTTTGCCTGCTGCGGGAGGAGCCCTGAGAACCTGAGTGCTGCCACAGTAAATGGCAGTGGTGCCAAAACGTGAAGCCTCCTAATCACAATGTCTGATGGCTAACCAAGGGAAAAATACCAGCTGCATCAGTCAGAATTTAAGGAAAAACAAACTTGATCAGCAAAAAAGTGAATTTCTTGCTTTCATCTGAAACTTTAGAAGGCATTTATCAAAATTAAAACGTTTTTGAGTTCACTACAGCCCACCAGAAATAACCTCTCTTGCAGCAGTGGGCTGACTGCTTGTGGCCACCCCCAATTTTGTTATTGAAAGCCCAGCTTCCAGGTGATGCTGTTAGGAGGTGGGGCCTTTGTAGGTATTAAAGAGTTCAAAGTGTCCTCACAGGCACATGTGTTAAAGGTTAGGTCCTCAGCTGGTATTCTTGGAGGTGCTAGAAACTTCAGGAGGTGAGGCTTAGCTGGAGAAAGTAGGTCACTGGGCAGGCCCTTGAGGGTGTGTTGCCTCTGGACATTTCCTGTTTTGCTGTGTTTCCTGCCCATCTGAGATGAGAGCCTCCTCCACCACACCCTCCTTCCACCATCATGCTCTGCACACAACTGTGGAACTACATAACCATGGAGTAGACCTCTGAAACCGTGAGCCTAAGTAATTCCTCCTTTAAGTTGTTTTTCTCAGATGTTTGGTCACAGGAACACAAAAAAGTAACTAATGCGGGGTGTGATTAGAGTGTCAGAGTCCCCATGAGTGGGACTAGTGCCTTTCTAAAAGGCCAGGAAGCCAGCCCACCCTCATCTTGCCACTCGGTCACAAGGAGAAAGCCACTGGCTGAGGTGGGAACAGACCCACACTCGCCATCTGGCATCCTGACCGCAGCCTTCCAGCCTCCGGAACTGTGAGACGTTTCAGTGTTTGTAAGCCCATCCCTGTCTGTGGCATTTTGCTAAAGTGGGCCAATGACCCTGGTTCACCCCACTTCCCTGCAGTCAGGTGCTAAATGACGTTAGGAAACAAACACAGCCACTCCTTTGTCACAAATTCTTCCACCTCTTGTCTGTCTGCTGCACATCTCTCCATCACCAAACTGCTTCTGTTCCTGGCACATCTGAGTGCTATGTCCAAGGGGCATTTTCAGGATTGACCTTTAGTCCTGACCAGTGTAGGTCATCATCTTTCAACTTTCTGCAGCCTCACACTCATTCAGCAATGAAATGGTTAATAAAACCTGAAATTATCTCCCCAGACTCCTTTCCAGATGTTTCATCCTCTCTCTGGCCCTCTCCTCTATACTTCTCCCAGCCTAACTTCAAGTGCCTCTCTCCCCACCCCCCCCGCCCCATTAGTCTCATGAGGACTGATGGTGTGTTCTGCAGCCCTAGCCCCAAACGCTAGCAGAACCACCCTCCATCCAAGGCACAATGTGCCTCCCTGATGCCCAAACCAATCCGAACAGACTCGCAACTCCACCTCCTGGGTCCCGTCCCTATAGTAACTAATTCTTAGACCCTCCCTCAGTCCCTTACAGACTGTCCAGCCCTGAGTAGGGGCCTCTTGTGTTAATTCCTTTCCCCCACTTGTGTTTTCTGGTCTATCCTACTGGGTGGTGACTAATCCTGAGGGACCCAACACTGTCTACACAAGTCTCACCCAAGTTCTTCAAACCAGCTTGATCTCCAGTCCCACTGTGTCTACTCCCATTTCTTCCTCTGACCGCCAGGCCATAGTCATGGTCCAGGTGGCTTTTAAGCACAGTGGACCAAAGCCCAGCTGGCTCCTACACTCTTGGAAAAGAGCAGGCAGAGCAACAGCTATGGCTGCAACTTGAAGTCCCGGCAGAGCCAAGGGCACCTCAGGAGCCACCACCCAGGTCTGTTCCCATTTAGGCCTGGGAAAGGCACAGAGCTGCCAGTAACAGGAGTGGTTTGGATCTGCTGTGGCGTGTTTAGGGATGGAACTGTGCTGGGGGCTAACGCGGGGCGTGAGTCCCAAACTCCCAAGGATCTGCGTGACCCACTCATTTTAGGGTGATTCCCACCCTGTGATTCCGTAGTGACTCTGGAGGGGGAGAGGAGTTCTGGAGTTGTTTGGAGGTACTTCATACCTTACCTGCCTTGGATAATTATTGTTCTTGTTTGTAGCAACTCATACTTTGGCAGAGTATATGACTACTTAGCCTCTCTAAGCCTCAATTTCCTTATCTGTAAAATGGGGAAAACAAAACATGTGAAATGCTTACTTACTGTCATGCCTGGCTCATGGTGCCCTAAGTGTGAAATGGGTGGCAGCTTCATGAACAGACTGCCAGATCTCCTGAACAGAAGCAGGAAAGGGCAGCCAGCCATCCCAGCAGGCCAGCGCCACAACTCTCGCAAGCACTGTCGCAAATGAGCAAAGCCGAGAACCGGTTGCACCTCAAAGAAACCAGGAGCTTCAAGAGTTGTAACCAAAGCCGGGTGCTAGTGGCTCACATCTGTAATCCTAGCTAGTTGGGAAGGCTGAGATCAGGAGGATTGTGGTTCAAGGTCAGCCTGGGTAAATAGTTCATCTCCAAAATAAATATAGCGAAATGGACTAGAGGTGTGGCTCGAGTGGTAGAGTGCGTGCTTTGCAAGTGTGAAACCCTGAGATCAAACCCCAGTCCCCACCAAAACAAAAGATCGTAACCCAAACCTGAAAACTGAGCTCAGGTCACTAAAAGCTACTCTTGGGATCTGAGTTTTTGGCAAAGATAAGGCCAGTGAAGAGGCAGTAAGTAACCTGGTGTGTTATGTAGGCTTCTATTTATGGGCTCCAGATCTAGAAAATAAGGCATTCATCATCTGACATCTGCCTCCTTCCTCAGGTCCATGTTTTGTTTTTTGTTTTTTTCTAAAGTGGTCACGAAATGTGAATGCTAGCACCTGCCAGTGTTCAAATACCTCGGCGGTGGGTATGAAGACACATATTGGAAAGCTGACACGGTGTCTGTTCTAGACCCATGTGACCGCAACATCAGACCCTAAAGCAGCCAAAGAAATTGCAGAGATTGAGAAGAGTGAATCACACACAAACTCACCCTCACAAGGGAAGCTCCTTCAGGAAGAGCTGTGACCAGAGTCACAAGGAAACTCACATTTTACAGGAAACTTTGCTTACAGAATTGCATTTTTTGCTGACTAGTCTGAAAAGGGCATTTCTTTTGTTGCAAATAACAGGAAAGGAGTAACAGTTGGCTCAAACTTTTTAACAACATAAAAATTGTTTTATAAATAGGTTTCTGTGGATACAGCTTGGTGGAAGGGTCCTTAACAAGCATGCATGAGGGCCTGGGTTCCATTTTCTAGCGTGGCAAAACAACAAACACCACCAAGTGTTTATAAAAGAAGTTCACAGCTATTTTATTTTGAAAGGTCTGCTTTCATTTATACAAAAAGATGGTGTTGTCAGTGTATTTTTCACTTTCAGTAAGTAAAACTGAGACAAATGGTATGTGTCTCATTGCAATTTCTAGTCAGAAGAACATGACGCAAAATCCCACTTCATCATAAGGCACCTTCCCCGTTGACTCCCAGGCCTGCCCTGCTTGTGGGGATTCCCGAAACTAACCAGAGTTAGGGCGATCATCTTTTTTCCCTTCTGTGTGCTGACAAAGAACTTAGGAACACAACTTGGTGGCTTATCATGACCCCAGTGTCCCAGCACTTGATCTTGACCCACACACACAGCTAACATACCCCAGGACCATGGCACAAAAATTCCATTCAGGAACTGGCCAGTTCAAGCCCCTCTCCAGGTTTTGGGTCCAGTCACAGAGCAGCAGCTCTTCAGATGCTACTCCCCTGTGCACAAAGCACATGGGAAACCAGCAACCCAGGCCGCCTGCCTGCAGCATAGGGCCACTGGCTAGCAAGTGGTGGCCAAAGCAAACAATCACACCAAGGAGCTATGACAGATGAAGACAAGTTAAAGGGCACGCTTTTAAGAAGTGAAAACCTACACAGCCTTCTAACATTTAACTCACAGTTAGTTACTTGGACAGTCTGAAAATTAAGGAGGCAGCAATAGATGATCCACCGTGTCATTTTAGTGGAGTGATCATCTGTCCTTAGCCTTATTAGATAAGACTTTCTAGTCATCTTTTTCATATGTATATAAACTCATTCCTTAATAAAGTTAGGAAACTAAAGCCACTTTTTCTTGTTCATTCAACTCCTAATTACTAAGCAATACACACAGATCAGTATATTCTGAACTCGTCTGAGAAAAAAAATCAGCACTGTTTTTAAAAAGTACAGGAGGCAATTTGAGTGGCCCAAGAACCAGTAAATCAGTCTCTCTTTCAGGGAATTTCCCTAGTTAAATCAAACTGTATAAACAAGAGGAATGTGATCTTTTTACCAAATATGCACACTATTCATGTGCTATAACTAATGATCTCATCCGGAGTTGGCTTTCCTTTTATCTCACTGAGATTACTTCCATCTTCTTTGCCTTGGAGAATGGACACAGTCTTCTCTCCTCTCCAGTGCTGACTGTGCCATCTCTGGGCACAAGGTCGACTTGCTCTGCACATAATACAAAACTCTCCTTCTGAGAAGCTTAGATACTCCACGGTGATATTCATGGTGCCCCCCACACAAAGCACAGCCTTGCACTACTGGAAGGAGCTAGGCGTAGGCGGCCCAGTGGTCTTCAGGACAGTCATCCTCTCCAAACAAGAATGACACAGAGTTATAAACATTATTAAATTTTATTAACAAAAACTTTGTACATTTTAATACATGTGGAATTTTACATCTAGGTAAAATATCAACACATTCAAAATTTACCATTTATACAAATTGTTACAGAATAATAACCAGTGGGTTAAATAAGTAAAATAAACCACACTGGTTTTTTAAATTATCTACAAAAGGTCTGACTTTAAAATTTCCCTGAACATATAAAAATAAATTAATTTTACTTTTCAATTAAATCTACCAATTAGAAATATTACAAATCAAAATATCAGTGTTATCTTATGAATTTTCACAATACAAAACAGATTCACAAAACCTTATTTACAGAAATGAGGTAAGAACTGTGCAATGTTTAACCAAGAGACATATTGCAGAATCAACATGTTCTTCCAGCTAAATACACAGTGGAGGTCTAATTACAGCTGGGTCTTTTCCACTAATAATTCACACATTTAAGAACAGATCAATGATTATATCCCCAATTTTTTCTTACTCTGACTTTTTGTCATATCAAGAGCATGGGTTTTGCCCATTCAGGAACTGTAGTGGCCGGGCTGTCTTTGTTTGAATGGTCAGAAATGGAAATTGTTTAAATAAAACAAATATAGACTGTTAGCAAATCCCCTCATTTTCTTGTGACTCATTAGTGGACAAACACCCAGGTAGTAGTTTCGCCTGAGCTATCTACAGTGGCATAGGAAATTTTCAACAAGGGCAGAAGCATGCAGAAGGCCACTGGTGTGAGCAGCCTCTTCTTGCCACTTATGAGGATTGACTAGCTGGGGCTCTGCTATTTAGAGCCGCTTCAACCCAGGGAGGTCCTAAACAGGCACTTAGTTAAGGCCAGGCCCTACCAGCAGTTTCCAGAGCGGCCTCTCAAAAGAAATCTATCACTTTGAATTGATCTGGTTCCCCCAGCAGCCTTAGAACTCACTTAACTCAAAGTCTCTTTAAAACATGAGTAGGTCATAACAATAAAGAAAAAGCATTTAGCGGAAGAAAAATCACCTTTAGCAGAAGTAGACATTTCCGTACTAACTTGATTACCAAAACTGGCCAAATTTTGTTAGAAAGGAAATTTTTTAAACAAAGTTTGCAAAGTCCAAGTTGATGATTAATATAATGGCAATGAATAAAACCCCAGGAGAAGAAACTGGACAGTTCCTTGAATTTAGGATCTGACTCACAAGAGCGAGCATATTGTATATAAGATCATATTTCATATTCCAGCTTGCACAAAACTGAGTAGTTCGTAAATGGAGTAAGTCTTTAGTTTTGCTGTTCATATCTCTAATTTGTTACAAAACTAGTTGTGCACCAACTACATTAAAGTTTTCTTGGTTTAATAAACTCATTGCATGTAAATTATATCACTGACAAAAGTTAATTATTAAATTTTCTTTAAAAGTTCAAACACTTTGGGTAGGGGGTGAGAATTCCATTTCAGTGCAACAAAGCAACAAGAACATGAATCAAAGCCTTACAAGAGTATCCTCCTGGCTGTCCTCTGTTGTGCGGATTCTTGTTGCATTTCTTCGTAGCTGTGGTAAAACTGCAGGAGCAGCCAGGGAAGTGAAGTACCAGAACAGCAGGACAGGCAATTTTTAGATCCTTCCCAAGTGTCAACTCTTCTCTTGAGCCACAGGCCCCGCCTTATCACTAAGTCTCTGCATTTACAACAAACAAAGTCAGATGCATTAGTTCAATCAGCTCTGCCCAACACTGAAGAGGATATATGCTCTGAATTTGACACTGAGATGAAATGTGGTATACAGTTACACCTTTTTTCTGTACATTTGACTTTTCAGCATAATGTAGACATGAATTTAAAAACATTAAGTTCAGGGGCATACAAAGACGAGAGAGGTAGTATGCCCACCCAGCTTCAGGACACAGCTTCTAAAGACTGAGAGCAGAATCCATCTGCCAAATCCACTCTTCCATGAGCCATATGTAACACAGTGTTGTTGAGAATGAGTTTTTAGGGACTAAGAAAGCCACAGGCTCTGATCCTACATCTGCCATTGGTCCTTTACTTGCTTCACTCTCCATTTACCCATCCATAAAAAGTGGGGTTACCCTTTTATTTTAGAGACTGAAGTCACATACACAGCAGGGCATGTAAACTACTTCCTGGTGCTACAAACAAAACTCTTTTCTGTCATGATTGATTTTGAGACAAGGTCTCATTTTTGTTGCCAGTCTGGCCTCAAACACATAATCTTCCTGCCTCAGCCTCCTAAGTAGCTGGAATCGTTTAAGTGCACTACCATAACCGATTCTGTTATATTATCTATTATTGTGATTCCTCCTTAAAAACACATTTAATACTGTATAATCCAGGAAAAATTAGCTTTTTAAATCACTTTTTGACACAAGGAAAAAAACCTGTGATCAAAAGTGGAAAAAAACTGCAAAATTTCTGTATTAATACAGAACTACTGAAATTTCCCATGTCAACATAACACTGAAGAAAGGTAACAAGATTTGTGGTAACAGTATTCCCTATCAGGAAGCCAGCAAAACAAGAGCGCAAACAAAAAGCACTGAAGTATTAAGAAAAAACAATAATTGTACATTTTGAACCACTTCCCATTCCTAAACAAAAACCAGTTTCTGAAGACTTAAGAGCACAGTATATAGAAAAATTTCAAAGTAATGGTAACTAGTAAACACTGGCTTTTAACTTTTTTATTTGCCAAGTTTCCCTCCTCATCCTTTCTTTTCTCCCCTTTCCTAACACCCACTCTCCAGCTATGTCCCAATACCCTTCTTCTAACAGGGCTCTGCCCTGAACTGGACTTACATTCCAGTAAGCAGATCTGACTGACTGGGAGAATTAACAAAGACAAACAACCTTAGTGTGCCACTGCAGGTTAGCATAACTGTTCCTGCATCCGTGTCTAATTTATCTTTCACATTAAAAGGGTCAGATGCTATCAAAATTAAGAACTTAAAATTTAAATTCTATTAAAAATAACTGCAATTTACTTTATTTTAAAAAGTAATCTAGTAGAATATTTTAATTGCCTGGTCAAAAATGTATGTATTAATCATATTATAAACATAACTACATTTTAAAAAGCTATTTAGAACAAAATTACATAAACACTCCTAAATTACTAGGCAAATTAAAGTTCCTTTTTAAAAAATTATCTTTTGATTGTACTGTCACATACAACTTGCTAATTAAAACATATTTTCAGGGCTGGAGGTATGACTCAAGTGAGCTGCCTAGCAACCTGAGTTCAAATCCTGGTACTGCAAAAATAGGACTGCTAACTTACTAAAAAAAAAAGGGCTTCAAACCCTTATGTGCAAATCAAACTGACATAGTTAGGGGCTATATAAATTGGCTTAGGTCCTTTGTGCTTAGAGCATCTAGCTGCTCAAACAACTGGATTATAAAAGAAAATACTAGAAATTATGTTAAAAATAAAGACGCTAGAGAATCGTCATCTGATGAATCACACCATTCTTCTTATTCCATCAGCTGTAACACTGAGCACGTATCTACTTACTGTGACTTTCTGACCCGCACTGTCCCCATGGATGGTGAGGAAGGGGTTGGTGGAGGCTGTGTGGAGCGGGGGCGGCTGAGTGCCTGTGAGAAGGTTGTTGATGGGAAGCTGCAGCTGCTGGAGCTCTGGCGGGTGGTGCTGCTGCATCAGCTGGTACAGAAAGGCCTGGTGCTGTTCCTTCAGCAGAAATATGACACAAAGTGAGTGCTAGCCTCAGATGTCAGCAGTTAGCAAAGCCTGCTTTTTCTATTTCTTTATATGTAAGTCACATTCACACCATGAAGAAGGAAAACAGGAATTTCATTTAGAAGAAAAGCATACTGCACTAAATAATACCCACCTACTATATAAAAGCCAGTGTCTCTGAACAGCCCATGTTCAAAACAGGACAGAGACCTGTACTCAAGTTAGGTTGTCCATGATGAGCAACGAGCAATGAGAACAGCTACTGCAGCGGAGTCACAAGCTTAAGGTGTATCATGGAGGCCAAACCCTTCCCATAATTCTGTTAAAAGTTCCCACTCATGCCTAACAAGAGGGAGCTTTCTGATGCAGTTATAGACTATTTTTCTTAGCAAGCATATATTTCCTCAGCACATATTTCCCTGAGTGCTTATTATGTACCAGGTACTGTCTTCGTTGCTTGGGACATAGGGAAAACGGGGTCCTTGCCTGTCTACCCTAGGAGAAGAAGAGATAAAAAAAATGTTACCCTGTGATGATTGCTAAAGGTAGAAAAATGAGTATGCATGAGACAGTCTGGTGCAGGCAGGGCAGTTAGGGTATTCTCACTGAGAAGTTCTCATCTGGACAAAGACTTGGAGGAATCAAGGGGAATTGGCCAGGTGATGAGAAGGAAGAAAGGGACTTGTAGGCAGATAAGTAAGCCAGTATCAAAGATGTACACCAGAGTTTATGCAACTCAATCCAGGACCTACGAGGAGTCTGGTGGGGCTGTAGGGAGCAGTGAGGAGGACAAGAAGGATGCAGGGCTTGGGGCTATAGACCATGACTACTTTGGCTTTCACTCGGAGAAGATGGCAAGCCAATCAAAGGGAAGTTTGGGGCAAAGGAGCCACACCATCTGACTCTGGAAATTCCCATGGAGTAAGTCACTGTGAGATGTCATGAAAAGGAAGGACTGCAAAGATTTTGGCCTAAGCAGCTTTAAGGATGAGGTGGGGAATGCTGGGCAAAGTGGGTCTGTAGAGGAAGAGCAATTTGCTTTTGGACAGGTTATGTTTGAAATTCTTCTACGATGTGCAAGTGATATTGAGTAAGCAGGTAGATCCAGAAGTGTGATGTTCAAGAGAGAGACCTGAGCTCAAGGTGTAACTATCAGCAAGATGATATTGAAAGACACATGACTGGCGGCCAACACTGACTTCTAGGGCATATTCAAAGTAAAAGATGCTGAAGAGAAGAGGGAAAACCCCGGAAGGGAGGTGAGAAAAGAGGGACCAATTAGGTAGGAAGACAAGCAAGACAGCTTCATGTCATGGGAGTCGAGGAGAAAGTGCTTCAAGGAAGAGAGTATAAACTGTCAAATGTTGACTGACTGGGCAGGTAAGATGCAGAATAAGATACTGACTTTTGGATTAAGCAATGTGAACCTCACCGGGGAGGAGACAACAAGCAAGAAATAGGGTGGCTGAGGGGGAAGGAGGAGGGTGGTTAAGCATGAGTACATTTTTAAGATGGAAAATGTATGTATGAGTAAAACAAATTCTTGCCTACACAAAGTTTGATGCCCATAAATAAGCAAACTTTGCCCCACAACTAAGGCTGACAAAGGAAAAAGTAGCAATTAAACTCTTTTAGTCCTTGTGGTCTCTGGGCAATAATTTGTGCTGAAAATATTTCTCAGTCATTTTGTAGAAATAAGAAATCTATGTGTGCTATTATTATTAGAGTAAAATCTTAAACAGGAAGAGACCCAAATAAACTGAATACGAGTATTTTATATTAAGATGAGGTAAGACATGATGAGATTACAGTTTAGTATAAGTATTTCAGAATTTATATATAGTATATCTATTTGAACTATGATAAGAATGGTAAAAGTACATATGTAAATTCTTAGAGAAGCTATAGGCAGAAGCTGACGATACCCTGTCCTGTACTGTTAGCCAGTGCATGTTCAAGTTGCACTAAATGGAGTGTGCTAGGGGATGGGGCTAGAGAAAAGTCACTTGATACCCATTTGGCCTCACATTCTTCTGATGAGCACAGAGGACCAGCACTGACTGCCCTTGAGTTTCAGCTATACGCTCCCTTGTGCATCTAGGTCAATTCTCCACACACACACCCCTCTGACCTCTATTTCATAATTTCTCTCTCCTCTATCAACACCCCATCTCCCTCCCTCTGCTGGCAACTTTACTTCTAATCCTAATTGAGAAAACCCCAGAAACACTAAAAGTGGTATTTCCTCAACTTCCTGCAGCTGTGCCCTGTCTACCCCATGATCATAGTAAAAGACATTTTTCACCTTTGCTCACTAACCACCTCCTCCCTCCCCAACCAAGAACTCTCCCATTGATACACACTGCTAGTCAACTGAACACAACCAGCCTGTTTTTCTCCATCTGCCCATCGCTCTCTTTTTTTATAGTAAAATGTCCTGAGGTGCATCTTCACTTTCCCTCCTATTTTCTACTGGACCACTTAATGACTAGGTTTGCTAACTCTCATTATATCAATACTGCCTTTGTCAGAAACTTCCAAGCAACAAGATCAAATGGCCAATTCTCATTCTATCAGAATAATTTAAATTTTACACAACTGGCACCCTTTCTAGAAACATTCTCTTTGCCTGGCAAAGTAAGACACTGTTCCTTTCTTAACTCACTGGTCACCTTTTCTTTGTATCCTTCACTGGCTTACTCCTCATCCTTTAGGAAAACACATCAAATCTCAGGTTCTTCACATCATCTATACAACAATGACCCCAAATTCCTATCTTAATACCCTTCCCTGGGACTCTAGACTCATAGTTGGGCTGGGCGTGGTGGGGCACACCTCTAATCCTAGTACTGAGTGGGCAGGGGCAGGAGGATCAGAAGCTTTAGGCCAGCCTGAGCTATGTCATGAACTCCCTCCCCTGTCTTTAAAAAACTAGTATCTGCCTATAACCTACACCCATCCCTACATATACAGATTATAATCTCTAACATGATGGGAATGCTATGTCAATAGTCAGGTGTTTAGGGAATAATGACAAGAAAAGGCTGTACAGGTTCAGTACTGAAGCATTTTGTTTTTCAGTATTTTTGATCTGCAAATAACTGAATCTACAGACAGGGAATCCATGGGTACAAAGGACAAAGTGTGTGTCTATACGGGAACTATTTCCTCTCAAAAACTGGTTTCCTTCTGTTCTTCTAAATCTCCATAGAAGTCAACATCCAGTTATTTCAGGATTCTTTTGTCTTGTATGTCTCACAAACACATCAAAATGTAGCACAATTCTAGTTTTTCACCACACAGAACACACCATTTTAAGACACCAGCTCATCATGTTGAAGTTCAAACTTTACAAGTAATTCTGAAAATAATCCTGAGAAAGAAAACTATGGACAGATGAAACATGACTAACAAAACTGAGATAATTATTGAAATGAAGTGTTAGTTGAGGCTTCCGTATATACTACTCTCTATTGTTGGTACACTAGAAAATTTCCAAGACAGAGAATTTTGTTTAAAAGCATCACCAACGGCTTTCTGTCACACTTAATAAAATCTGAATTCCCTGCCACAGCCAAACAAGGTGGTACCCACTTCTAGAGGACACACACTCCCTTACCTCTCTCCTCTGCTCCGGCCTACCTCTCACTCTGCAGTCATGCTGCATTCCTTCTAGTCTTCCAAAACACAACACATGCCCAGGTGTTTTACAACTGCTGCTCCCTCTACCTCGAACACGCCTTCTCTTCTCTCTCCCCTAAGTCAAAAAGGCACACTCCTTCAACTTTTATACAGGTCTGTGCTCAAATATCATCCCCCAAAGAGCTGGACCAGCCTATCTATAATGGTCCTCACTGTTTAGCTCAGGGATAGAGCACTTACCCTGACACATGCAAGGCCTTGGGATGCATCCCCAAAACCACAAAATAAATAAATTGGCCCTCATCTCACCATTCCCTATCTCCATATCTTGCTGCCTTTTTCTTCTCAGCATTTATCACTATGAAAAAGCATGTACTTACTGTCCATCTCCTCTATCAGAAAACACAGACTTATGTCTTAATCACAAGAACCTACAACGGTGCTATGACACGCGTTTTAGTATCAGTACATTAATGAATGTTGTGTCACATAGGTATGCCAACTGTGCCAAATGACAAAAAAACACTTTTTGGATCATGCATTCAATACTGTTTCACAAAGGACTAATCGGAATCCACACTGAACATCTATTACAGTTTAGAATACTTGTTCCTGATAAAAATCCATTAGTAAAAAGAAGAACTTACTGGTGTGAGCTGTTGAGAATTTAACAACTGCTGAAACTGCTGTTGATGAATAAGCATTTGCCTTTGCTGGTCAGAAAGTAATCCCAATCCTGAGGCACTGAAAAATTAGTAAAATACTTATTTTTCTACTATATACTTCTAATGCCTTTTTAAAAATGTAAACTGAAAGACAACTTTTCAATTTGATATTTAACACATTAGTAAGTTTTTAACTGTAACACTTTTTAAAAAACAATTATATGCAAGTTTTCTTTGTCTACACACATGTGTACAGCTAAGTAAGAATTCACATTGTCAAAAAGCATTACTATAAACCAATAGGCACGAGCTTATTTCATGGAACAAAAATTTACACATTTATAATAAAACATATACAATAATTTCTTTTTGATTATTCAAGGATAATTTAACCCGTACCAAATAATATATATATATCAAATTCAAAGAAAGGAGCACTTCCCTGCCATGGCCCAGGCCCCAGATTTGATCCTTACCATGGCTTAAAAAAAGAAAAATACCACTAACTGATTTGACCTAGCTTTTTTATTCCAATGGTCAGTAAAAGCAAGCATCAGAGAAAAGAAAGCCAAAAGAAATAGCTTACTAATACCCACTGCAAATCCACTTAAATTACTTCACAAAAGTATATTTAAAAACAACGTGGCTTTAGTTCCCTTATTTTGAACTAACATTCAAATGAAATCCTAAAACAATGAAACCAGGGAATCTCATTTCCTGGAAATTCAAGATAAATATTTGCCCCTCATATCAAAACTTTTAGATTAGAACAGTAAGTTACATTTGAATTTTAAGAAGCTGATATCATGTGATCACCACTATAATGATACCTATCTTTAGAACTTACTATATTGGAATGCAATATACAAAGGAAAAAAATTAACATTTAAAAAGACATTACAGATCAGATCAGACTGACATTTTCAGCACAGAATACTTTTAATGCTTTGTTACTGAAAAATGATTAAATATACTGAGTAGCATATACTTAGCTTAAAAGTTTTGGTAGACTTTTTTTCTTAGAGTACACGTATGAGAAACAGATAAAAAAGCCCAACCTATAAAATATAGAGCACAGTGACATTTTGCATAAAATATACGTAAGTTTCTTACCTGTTAGTCAGTGTAGCCGGCATTGGATGTGTTGCGTTAGGCGGCACAGTTGTGTGGGTGAGCGGAGCAGGGTTCTGGGATATTGTGACAGGGGTCTGAATAACCCCATTTAAAGCTCCTACAATGCCATTAATTGCCAGTTGGTTACCTGGCAAAGCTCCAATTATTCCACCCACTGCAGACACAGCAGGAATGGTAGATGTTACAGTCTGCATTCCACTAGCTAGCGCTCCTACTGTCACGCCATTGACCTGCTGAACTCCACTAACTCCTGAGCCTTGCTGGGCTGGACTCTGCCCAGCAGGAGGAGGAGTAGAAAGAGCAGAGGAACTGCTGGTGCTCTGTCCACTGGAGGTTAGGTCCTAATGTACAGAAGAATAGAAACTTCCATTGTAAAGAGCATAGGAAAACTGTTTAAAATAATTTTATTTTAATTATACACTATTGTTCACAAGGAAAACACAAATGAAAATTACCTGATTTAACACAGGGAGGGAATTGTCTGGTAAATAGTTGTTTCCTATATGTGGGCTCTTACTGCTGTTCAAGGAATCAGTAGTAGGAGCTAGAATAATAAAAGACAAAAATAAATTTATTAACCCTGTTAAATTACAGTATGTGTTAAAATTAAAAGTTTATCAAACACTTTTTGCTAAAGTGCATGTTAAGAACACTTAGGTAGCATCTTGCTGCTCCTAAGACCAGTTTAAGTAGGGGAAAAAACTACATTTACTGAATAAATCAATAATGAAATCATTACACATTTAAATAAACTTCACCATGAAACCACGTACTAAAGAAGAGAGAGAAAAAGCAAGTCAATCACTAAGCAGGTTCTCTATGCCCTTCAAAAATAACCCATCATTTCTTTTCTACATCTTCATACAACTGGTAACCAGTTATTGCTCACTTAATATGCAAGTGGCATTGTCTATTATATTTTCCTTAAGATAGAAAACAAGTATTTTCATACTTACCAGTCTGTGTTGAAAATGCATGTATTTGATGAGATGGACTGGGATTTGTTGTTATTGTTGGGAAAGGCACTGAAAGCTGTGCATTCAATAACTGAAGACGTTCCTTTTTGGCAGTCAAGTTTTTAATTTGCTCCTCTAATCTTCGATTTTCAACTTGAAGTTGGTGTAATGATTTCAGCATTCCTAAAACTAGCAAAAATTTGATTAACTTTTAATAAAGACAAGTCCCACATCCAGGACTAAGTATTTTATGGACATAATATCAATAATCTTAGAAATAAGTTAAAACTCAAATGTAGAAATCCTGTAAAATATTTCTAAATGGGGTTATTCCTAAATTTTTATGTAAATATAAATATATCTAAGCATGAAAGGATAGTATTCCTTGATGTACCATCTGGAAACTTTGTTGTCCACATAGCAGAAAAAAAACCCATTAGGTAATTTCTATCCTCAAAAAAAAAAAAAAGATAGCATTTTATTCTCCTCAAAGTAAAAGCCTAATTAAAATCGAAGTGGGACGGGGCACAATGCAAGCTGTAGAGTGCACACCTAGCAAACGTAATGCCCTGAGTTCAAACCCCAGTAATGCTCCCTCCTCCCCTCCCAAAAACACGAAAAAATCAAAACTCAAGTGCCTGCCATGATTTTTCATTAGTCATATTTGCCTTAGGAAAGGATGTCACACCAATGTCCTTCACCACAAGGAGCACACATTTTATTTGTTGCTTGTTTGCAGCTCAGTGGTAGAGCACATGCTTAGTTTGTGCAAGGTTCCAAGTTTGACCCCAGCATTAAAAAAAAAAAAATTACACATGTCACCAGGCACCACCTGGCAGGAAGCCTCCAATTCCAGCTTTCAGCCTGTTACTCCACAGGTCTCCCAGCAGGGAGCGCTGTGTGTGCGCCCCTGCCACCGTTCTCACTTCCCAGAAAGGCGTGTATCATCTATATAAACAGGCTGACTTTCTGTCTTGCAGGTCACCTCAGATACTGTGTTAATTCCTTCCAAGACCTGGGCCTCCCAAATGACAACACAGAGCATTGCTTTTAGGCCATGGTGATGGACACTTTAAAAAATTCTATGTATTAAAAAGTTTTATTTGTTTAACATGACCCCAGGGCTTTGGAAAGACACAGCTCTACTGGTACAGACACACATGGTCATTTCCCAAGGATTTAACTTTTATCCCTCCTCTTAAAGATCCCACAAAGAAACTCTTAGTGTGCCCAAATGAGATGCAATAAGACTAAGCTAAACCTGTCCTCCAGCTATCATGTTTAAAGGATTATCCTGGCATGAATTTCCTCACAATTAGCATTTTTTGTTGGGGTACCATTCATAAAAACACCAATTTATGGAGTTGGCTCACTAGCAATTTAAAAAGTATTTTGTTTTAATAAAGTAGTAAAAGTTATCCCAAAATGATGAAAATCATCTATTTTCCCCAAAGTCATACATATAATTAGTACCAGGACACTTCAGCTAATCACCACCTGCTCTTTCACTTTTTTTTTTAAGTATTTTTCATCCATGGTCCTAATACTTAAAATCTTAAAGACATTAAACCTCTATATACAAGATATACCACTATATAAGTATACCACATAATTTAATAAACATGATAAACATGACATACTGATTATATAACTTAGTAATTTCTCCTCCTAAACTATACAGTAAGAAGATACCTGCCACATTTCACTAAATACATTCTTTTAAAGAAGTTCTCCCAAAGTGAAGTTTTCTTCAAACAATTAATTGCTTGGAGAAAATTGAGCTCATGTAATTTCATAAATTGATAAGAACTAAGTATAGCACAATGGAGAAACAAAGCATCAATGTTACCACAGTGTAAACAATAACCAGATAACAAAAGGCACTTTAAGATGTTCTTTACATTTTTCATGTCATTTTCTCCTAACAACAACAACCCTACGATGCAGGTAAGTTCTTATTCCACTTCTACAAATGAGAGTAAAGAACTTCAAGAAACTTGCCCAAGATCATAGTGTTAGTAACAGTTAATTAAATTGGTTTCATTAAACTACCACATTGTACCTTCTTAGCATATTATACAAGATGTGTATCATAATCTCGTATTTTTCTGAGTAAAAAGGACTTTGGCACTCATTTGCCTGCTTGTCCATCCATCTTTATTTAAAGACAAGAAAATAAGTACTTACTGTCACTAGGAGTACCCTGTTCTAATAAAAATTGCTGTCCTTCACTCCACTGCCTCTCCAAAAGCTGTTCTATACTGGCTGCTACTGGAGGCAGATTTTCCAAACTGCTGTTGCCTGGTTGATCATAGCGAATCTGTAAACTGCTTACAGGGGATCTGTTGAAAACATTAATTGTCAAGTTACAAAGAAGGAAATGCTTTTAAGGAGAGTACATTAGACTTTCTTACCTTACACTGACCCCTTTTTCCTGTACAAGTTTCCTAACACCAGGCTGCTTATGCCAAACATATCAGGTTTCTGGGTTTTAAAAACTATAATCTACCCTAAAATTGAGTAATTATCATTCTTCCTCCCAGAATTATAAAATAAAGGGAATAGCTGACCCTACTACATAATTAAAAACCACCAGAAAATATAAAAGCAGCCCAAACAGAAACAGTTCTACACAATTCTGCCTTAGTATACATATCAAATAATGCCAATTACAATACTGTAGAAGGCATCTGGATTTACAACCAACAAAATACTATATATCAGTGAAAAGAAAATTTTAACAATTTTGAAGCAGCTTTTTGTTATAAATTCAAAATTACTATTTTCAATACTAAGGACCATTATTAAGTCCAAACCAATTTTTATTTCTAGGCAAGCTCTCTACCACTTGAGCCACCCCCAACCCCCAAACCAACTTTTATTTCTAAAATGTCTTAGATCTGTACTTCAAATGGCAATCATTAATCAACCCTTCCAAAGAATTAAGATGTGTAATATTTTCTTGTTCACTTTTTGTTTTAAATTACTAAATTGGAGCCATTTTTGGTCTCCAGATTCTATTCTACCATAATAAATCAATAGCTTTAGCATTTCCAAAGTGTTTCTACATAATTATCTCATAGACCTTCACAACAACCCAGTAAGCAGCCAAAACCTGGGTTACAGGTTCCATGTGCACATAAGGAAACAAGATGGGCTTTTAGTGACTTGTCCAAAGACACTACTGGTGAATGACAGCTGTGCCACTACTTGGGTCTTCTAAGCACCTACTAATGTTCATGCACAGCCTTAATAAGCTCCTCTACGAAGAAATCTCTTAAAATAAGAAGTTCAAGTGATAAGGCTTTATATTTCATATGAAAATGCAATGTGCAACACACGTTTGGCCATGCCTCTCTAAGGACGACGTTATGCCAGGGTAATTTAGGCTATTCCATTTCAGGCTGATTTTTAAAGAATAATAAAGTAGGAAACATTTGCTAAAAATAATTTAGTTCTATGCATCGTGTTATGTTCCATTAAAAAAAAAACTATACTAAGTAAAGTAATCACTAAGGGATTTTAAATAATTTCTGGGTCACTTAAGTGATGTTCTAAGTTTAAAAAGGGGACAAAGAAATGCTTCTTCCACTACACATGAGCAAAAAAGCCATTGGCTTCTTTGAAAAAGAAAAGTATATGAAGTATTCTCAACATAAAATCACAGAGTAGTAAGCTAATATTGTCATTTATATTTCAGAATCCTGGTTTACAAAAAGAGATGATTTAATTTTCTTCAAAGTTCAATAAAGAAAAACACTACTACTTTTAGTTCAGCTAGGAATTGCATAGGGAAAAGACACTACTAGATGTACCATTAGAAAAACAGAAGAATGCGAAGTTATTAGACTAATGTCTATAATGATAAAATGTTCCTTAACAGACATTCCCCAACTATATCACCCAACACAGAAACACTAACCCTCATTGTTGTCATCACATGAAAGTTCCCACTTTTCCTCCCATTCTCCATTGTCACCCAGTCTAATGTTTGAAATGAGTTTATAAAATTAGAGAACACAGAGAAAACAAACTAGAAGGTGGTGCAGAAGCTGAAAAAGTGGAATAAAGCAAAAAGACAGCTACCATTAAAGTCCATTCTCTTCTATAAACTGACACACTATGTCACACCACCATTCTCCCCATTAGACACAGAAAGAAGACACAGTTCCACAACCTCACACTGATTAATAACTTCCAGATTAATAAATGGTACTGGACTGCTGTCATATAATATCTAAGGTAACTTCACAAAAATGAAATATGTTTGCTATACTCTGCTTCCAACAATTTAAGAGCTGGAGGGCTATCAGGAACCTGCCACAGAACTCCACTTGCAAAACAGCAACTAAAGACTGAAGGTAAGTGCATTGCCCACAATTGCCAAAACTGGAGCCCAAAGTCACAAGTCTTAAGACTATTTTATCAGCAAAAATCATCACCCAACTCACTCAATGCATTAATTGCACCAGCAGCTAAATATACAAGTGATAAAAGAGTGCTCAAACTGAAAATATAAGAAAATGCATTCCTTTTAGCTTAGAAATCGAATGTGTTTAAATTAATATTCAAATTAATTCAGAATCATTTTTCTTGACTGTCTAGACATGTTTCTTATCTACAGAATGCTTTCACAGCCTCACAAATGTACACTCTTCTGATAGGAGATAAGCAAGTTTCCAAGTCTCAGTGTTTCCCTTTGCTTCTCTATGCAGTGTAAATAGCAGCTTGCTTACCGTGGTGAGAGACTTCCCCGGGGTGAGCTTCCTCGGCCAGCTATGCTGCGGCCATTGTCTCCAAGATCTTGATCTGCAGTGTAAATATTTCAGAGCTGATAAAGTGACTCTCACAAGATAAGAGGTTTTAAGCTCTTGCCCTGATTTTTCCTAAAACACACATTAAACCTTTACCAGGATCTATCCAGTTACCATGAAAGCAGAAGACCTAGCAAGTTGCTACTTTAGAATTGCTGAGCTGTGGCATGTAAAGCGTTGTCCCTACATGTTTCTGTGGGTGCAGAAGGCATGGATTATGTTCTGTTCTTTCATTCCTTTCAATTTTACAGCACAGAAGCGTGGTTTGAATTTGCAGTACCCTCCCCTCAGCCACTTTTAATTTCTACCGTTAAAGCAATGAATCACAGCTGTGGACAGCTAATCTGTATGCTTATCACAGCAAATCCTTATGCTTTGTATTTTTTAACACTTTGCATCCCAAAACAAGTTGTAAAACACACTTACATAGGGCTTACAAGAGACTAAAGCTATAGCATATGAATCCTTGCACCAACAATAAAATTGCATAAAACACTAACTTTCCAAATTGGCAAAACAAGTAGAAATCCAGACTTTTGTATTTGAAAGGAAAAAAAACAGCTAGTCTTTTTAAATATTTCTGAGGTAATAAGAGTATCTCCTCTTGAAAAGTAACTTGTATTTCCCCTGCAGTTAGTCCCTTATAAAATCACCCTATCTATCTGGCCTCTTTCAAGGTTGTCCTCCCCTTATTCTGAGTTAGGTAACCTCTGACCCTTGAAGGGTAAAGACCTGACTGATCCATTCTTGGTGAACTGTTAAACCCATTCCCTTCCCCCAAACAGGCATGACTACTTGGACATGTCAACAAATCCTTAAGGATGGAATGAAACAAAGCAAATCCAGTGGCTCATTAAAACAGTACAAGAGGCAAATGCTACAAAATGTCAACTGGTAAATATTCACAGGATTACTAAACACTGTAGAAATTCTCTAACAGGATTTTTTAAAATCAAGTTTGTGCAATGCAATTTCGTGAATTATGCAAATAAAATTTAGGCTATTCACAGAAAAGCCCAGTGTCATGTTACTTTCATTGCATAGAACTGAGGACTGAATACATCAATCACAAAAGTCACAGGAGACTTTGTTACATTCCTGCCTGCTGATGACTCTTAAACATTTATATTTCAGACAGTTTAAAATTTTAAAAAGCATGTCACTATTTTGCAGCACAACTACGATTCTTTCGGTTTAAAAAAAAAAAATCCTCTACATTAACCACACCCCTAGACTTTTTTAAGGATGAGCCAACAAGGGGAAAATTACATTGGGGAGAGAATTTAAAAGTTTAATTAATTCTTGAAACTTACCTGTTTGATTGTTTTCAGACTGTGCTATGAGCGTGGCCATTGATGGAGTTGGATTTAATCTGTTGCTATACATATGAGATGGTCCCTGACTAAGAGAAGATCCGGACAGGGTATTTGCCTAATTGAAAAGATAATAATAATAAATGAATTATATTGGAAAATACCTGAATGTTTTTTCTCCTACACACCTAGTAAACTATTCTCTAGCTCAAAATATATGCAGAAATTCCTGACTTTTTGAAAAGCAAATTTCATTTTTGTTTTAGCTTTCCAACATGTCAATTTTTTAAAAGTTACATAACTACAAATTTTCTTTAAAAAGTATTCAAAACTAGTCAACACAAAACCCAGTGTGCGGTAGCCATGTAAACATAGGACTATTTAATCTTATTAAAATCATTTACAAAATAAGAGCAGGTAGATAACAGATGTCTAACAAATGCTCAAGTCTCAAGCTGGCTAGAGAGGTCAAAAGGTTCAACTACTATTTTTAGTATTTTAACTATATAGAGCCACATTTTCCATTGCTTAACTCTGTCATTAGTAAACCCTGCACACTGTTTTGTTACTTCCTATTTTGATAGACTTGGAAGCCTGCTGCTTTTGCTGTTTTGTTTTGTTTTTATTTTAAAAGAAAGCAAACAGGCATCACAAGTATGTTTTCTATACAATGCAGGGCTCAACGAATCACAGCTTTGCCCTGACCCCATATAAGGCACTGTCTTTTTGGCAGGAAGCCAGCTCTACTAACTGAAGAGCTCAGTCCAAAGTTTGTAATTCATTCATGTTGCTAACCACAATTCTGAAGGCCTCTACTGGGACCTGTGCCAAACAAGCGAAAATAAACCCTTAAACAGATGAAGCTAAGGAGGCTGGCCAAAGTGTTGCATAATCCAGTGTAATAAAAATGCCTTCTTTGATATGCATACTCTCTCCCTCTTTCCAAGAATATTTAACCTTAAAATGTGACATTCTGGAGGCAAATCTCTTGTACACAAAAACTATTACTCACAAGAGGCTATTAACTGGCCTGAAATAATTTTCGTACTTAACAGAGCCACAATTTTTGACTTATTCCTGAATGAAATAAAACTTTTATAAAATGAAATCACTGCATAGCTATTTCAGAACAAAACCCTTGAAAGTAATTTCAAAGAACTGAAGCACTTCTAACATAAAGAAAGTGAATAACAGTAGAATGAAAGATATATTTTTGGCAGGTATTATAGCATATAAGAGACAACAATGACACAGTAGTTATAATAAGCAAAATATTACAGAGAATAAACTGTGTTTCTGGACAGATTTCTAGCCTGACAATGTATTTAGCCTTTAGCCAACTTGTTAAGCATAACTATACCTTTACAATTCATAGAAATAGTTTCCAAAATGTAAAATCCTATCCTTGCTTTCTATTGTTTCAAAGGGTATAAATTCAATCTGATCAGTTTCTGGGTTTCATTTTTTTCCTCCTATTAACAATATGCATTCAGAGTCAATAAGTGTATACTTTAAAGCACCATTTAATTATTAATTAGCCCTCAGTAAAAGTTGTAAAAACTTCAACATAGAGATCAACAGTAGATAGTTACCATGTGTTAAGTAGTATGGGATACACAGGAGAATCTTAGCTATCATAAAATAACTGAGAACAAGAAAAATACAAACAAGCCAACAGAAAAACTAGATGTTTCCAGGCCCGTGTGTTATCAAAGTCTCAGGTACCTAACACTTAAAAATGCCTTTCAAAGAGCCAATTTACTCTTAACTGGAGACATAATTCCAAAAAAGATTAACTAAGCATATAACAGATGAGAAGCGGAAAATTAATTAGAAGGAAAAAGAAAAATAGTATCTTGAGACAGTTTGTTGGCACCAAGAAGTAGCAGCTAACATCCGGGGAGGAGAGAGAAAAGTCTGAGGATGAGTGAGAGGACAAAGGGCAATGGAGGGGCACATTCAAGGCACAACACGATTAACTTTCAGACTCTCCTTGTCTTCGCAGTCATCTATGGTACTTACTCGCTAAATCACAACTTATAATTTACTAGTTGGAGTACTTGTTCAGTTCTAATTATCAGTTTCATAAACTGCCCTAATCTCGTAATAAGAATCAAGAGAGCCAACTCTTATCAGAAATACTCTTTTTTAGGAAGTGTTTCTTCTGCCAAGGACTTCCTATTTTTCCCCAATAGCTTCTAATTTCAGAGAGTGACTCTTTATTGTCTCCAAATTATCTTAGTTTCTCCATCATCCAATAGGCCTGCTATACTAAAGATCAAAACTGAAAGCAGTACAGCATAATAACTGGTCTGCACGATGACTATCACAAAGAGAATAATGTAAACTATCTTTAGCATATTACAAAGTAGGAAAGTCTCTCCCTTCTACCCCTACACCGCAGTACAGGAGATTGAATTCAGGGCCTCACACATGCTAGGCAGGCTGCTCTAACTTCTTCCCATTTTAGTTTGTTTTTCAGATAGGCTCTGGAGTTAACATTTTGCCCTGGCACCTCTTGGGATCACAATCTTCAAATCTCCACTTCCTGAAAAGCTGGGATTACATACACATACCACCACACCCAGCTTGTTTTTTGATAGTGTCTCACTAACTTTTGCCTTGGCCAACCTGGAACCACAATCCTCCTCCTAGCTCTGCCTCTCAAGTAGCTAGGATTTGGCATGTGTACTGCAATACCTAAAGTCTCTTTTGAAAAAAGATAGCTGGTAAAAGTTAATAGTAATAAAATAGTAACAACTAATTTCTGACACTATCAGATGGCTAAAAATCATCTGACAGTTGTTTTCCTTTATAAAAATAACATAATTATGTAAACAACAAATTTTCAGGTAGGTGGTACATGCCTATAATCCTACTCCTCTTTAGAGGTTGAGGCAGGAGAATTGAGAGTTTGATGACAGCTTGGGCTACACTAAACCTGACTGAGACAAAAAAAAAAAAAAGACTTTCAAAAAAGAAATAAAAACAGGTTATTGATGTTACAAGATAGGGTTTTTTTTTTTTAATGTTACTGCATCTAAATCACTGTACATTAATTTTGACTGGAAAACTCAAGTCATGAACATCATTTCAAGGTAGGCAACATGAGCTACCAAAGACTCCATAAATGTCTGTCACAGTTAGGCCACTATTTCCAAAATAATGTTTGGAATGGTTAGTAGTGCTAGAACCACTGGCGAACCTTCTTGTTAGTGCCTCCAGGCCAAAACCCTCTCACATTTTAGTGAAAAGATCCCACAACTTAATAGAGAAGGTTAAATTGAGTTGGGAAAACACAACTTACTGAACAAAGACACACGATTATCTGGGCATTTTGAAGACTAAAAAAACAACAGTTTTGCATTAGTTAAGTGAAAGCACTAAGATTCACAGGGATGAAGAGAATTCCACGCTAACCTACACAGACAGTGCTTATGAAGCAAAGGACACTGAAAGCTTTTATATGGAAGAAATCTTCAACAAAGAACAAAGGAAACACTAACGTGACACAATACTTCTCAACAACATATTTTGGACAGGGATTTTTAAAAATGCATTGAAAACAATTACTAACATACCATAAGTCTGCTTTAGAAGGTCTGGTATAAAGACGAGAAATTCAGCTGGGTACCTGTGGCTCATGCCTGTAATCCTAGCTACTCAGGAGGAAGATATCAGAAGGATCGGCGTTTTTAAGCCAGTCAGGGCAAATAGTTCTTGAGACCCTATCTCGAAAAAACCCAACACAAAAAAATGGCAGGTGGAGTGACTCAATGTGTAGGCCCTGAGTTTAAATACAAGTACTGCCCAACAAAACCAAAACAAAACAAAAAAAAGACCAGTCTAAGGAAATAGTTCACAAGACCCTGTCTTGAAAATACCCAACACAAAACGGGGCTGGTGGAATGGTTCAAGTGGTAAGCACCTGCTTACCAAGTATGAGAAGCTGAGTTCAAATCCCAATACAGGAAAAAAACAAAAGACTAGAAATTCTTTCTGGAAGGAAGTACCTATATTATGACATTTCAATTTCATTCTGTAGCAGTAGGAGATTGGCTATTGTGGACATTTCTTCCTACCCCCACCCTCACCCTCATACTGGGATTTGAACTCAAGCTGGTGCCTGGCATGGACAGACATTCTTGCTCTATTGGTACTATAAGCAAATGAGTTTGTTAATATTAGGAGAAGCTGAATGAAGGATATTCACAATATTATGTGAATACTATGTATTGTTCTTTTCTATACATCTAAAATTATTTCAAGATAAAAAGTTAATATTGCTATGATAAAGTTCTACTTTAACTTGTAATGTATGGTATCTTAAAGAGGCTCCCTCCCTCCACCCCACTAAGATTAATAATTGAAAAGAACCACTTCCATACTTAAGATGTTATTTATTCTGACACTCTAGTAAAAACCTCATTAAGAAAAGGATAATTATTTTAAAGATGGACCCAAAGACTACTGATTAAAAATAAACTGATGATTACAGAGGTAAATCTGAATCACTTTTAAGCAAAATATGTTTAGGTGTCTGAGTTAAAGAATACCCTTGACAAATCTAGAATAAGTTAATATGTTAAACACAAGAAAAAAAATGCAAGTCTCTACCCAAAGCAATATTCAAACTCAAAACAAATCAATGAAATTATCTCCTAAACAGACTAGCATATCCTATTAAAATATTAACAACATTAAAAATGTATTTCAGGTTGAAATGTTACCTTGTTAATAGTTCACCTGCTGTATTTCAAATGTTTGCTTATGAAAACAAAGGTGTTTGTAAAGAGCTATAACAAATTCCTAGGTAGTTGGCTTTTTTCTAAGGAGTTAGTTGTATAAGGAAAAAGATGAGGTCAGCCCATTTATCTGCACATGAGACTTAAGAGTAGGTATTGTTTTTGGCACATTTTACCCCCTCTCTAATGTTGATAACCCACACAGAGCTTAGGGCATGTCTGTTGGGACTACATAGAGAGGGAAGTATGTGTTTTCATTACCCCATTGGCACCCTGCCACCAAGAAGAACACATAACTGGCTTTATTCAGAACCACTGATAAGTAGGACAGTGAAGTCAACATAGGGAAAGCTGGGAGAAGAAGACAGAGTCC